ATAGATAGATAGATAGATAGATAGATAGATAGATAGATAGATAGATAGAGATAGATAGATAGATAGATAGATATAGATAGATAGATATAGATAGATAGGTATATATATAGATATATATATATAGGTATAGATATAGAGATAGATAGATATCGATATATAGGTATATATATAGATATAGCTATATATAGGTATAGATATAGACATAGAGATATAGAGATAGATAGATAGAGATATGTTGTTGTTGCTCAGTGCTGTTTGAATCATATTGAATCAGTTCCAATTCATAACAACCCTATGTCGAGTTTCCAGGGAGCAGCTGGTGGGTTTGAAACACCACCTTGAGGTTCAAATCGACCCTGTGGTCCATTGCTCATCCTACAGCACCATACCAGGACTCCACATACATATCCATACACATATATTTTGCCACTAGTGTTTTTTCTTACATAAAATGATCACCAAGTTTATTCTAAAGAGCACTGGTAAGATTTTTAGTAATGTTATGCAGATTTGTGACTTAAATGATTATTTAACATTCTGTGAAAAATAAATACAGCTAATAAGAACTTTACCCTGGTCCAGAGATTTGTGGAATAGCAGCCACATTCCTTCCAAATGCAACTTAACAATACTAGGAGTTATAGGCTCAGAACAGTCACCACTATACAGAACAGCAACGTTAATAGTGGTGAACCCCTGAAGCTGCAACACTTCATCAAAGTATTAGAAGGCAGGTAGATTTGTAAAGCTGTCAGAAATTATGTTCTATCTCTGAAAAGCTTGGGCAGACAGCTCAGAGCACCTAGGATCCTCTCAGTTGTGAGCACTGAGAAGGAAGTAAACAACTGGGCTTCCTCCATGCCAACCCTCCAGTCCCTACTATAAGAGCCAATGAAAAGAAAGAGAACCACCTCATGAAAAGCACTGGAAATTTGTTCCTCCAAGGATATAGAGTCATACACACACACACACACACACACACACACAACAGGCCACGGGGGATGCCAGTGAATCAGCAAACTCACATTTAGACCACTGAGGCCCAACAGATGAGACCTCCATGCCAAAGAAACCCCTGAAAAGAAATTCTCCTTCAAGTTCTTCAAGATGAGTGACTTCCTTCAAAACAAACTATAGGATATCAGATGTTTTCTCTGATTCCCAAATCCCCAAGCTAAAAGTGAGGTATCAGCACTCTCAGTTCCCCCTTTGTTTGCTTATTCTGAAATTTATGCAAGAGACACTACCCTAGACTATGTCCTATAAATACTTTATTCGGTTAAAAATAAATTCTGTAATATAAAAACCAAATCCACTGTTGTGGAGGCAGTTCCGGCTCATAGAGACCCTACAGACATAGAAGAGCTGCTCCACAGGGTTTCCACGTAAATCTTTATGGAGGCATACTGATACATCTCAATCCCTTGGTAAGGGCAGGGTAGGTCAAACTGCCAACTTGCTGGTTAACAGCTAAGCACTTAGCCACTGCATCACCAGGGCTCCTTACAAATATCTTGTTGTTGTTAAGTGCTGTCAAGTCAGTTTTGACTCACGGCGACCCTGTATAGGAAGGACTTTCCATGGAGCGACTCGTGGGTTTGAACCACTGACCTTGTGGTCCAGTGCTTATCCATACGGCAGGTGGAAATCAACTATACAAGTATCTTTCCCATATTGATACTCTAAAATAAATTCTCCATTGAATGTATCTTGGAAATGTTTAAAATGTTTCAAGACAATATCATAGCTACTTTACAATTTTAACTTACAAGTAAATGAAGAATACTTAATATAAGAGGTCAACAAACTGCACTGTTGTTGTTGTTGTTTAGTGCTGTTGAGTTGGTTCCAACCCATAACGACCCTGTGTAAGGTTTCCGAGGAGCAGCTGGTGAGTTTGAACCACCTACCTTGCAGTTCAAACGGCTTTGCAGTCTGACGCATTAACCCACAGAGCCACACCAGGAGCATTAAATAACCTCATTCTTGGCAGCTAAAAGGCAAGTAATAAGAGACTTAACTGCTTAAAAAAAGGTAGTTTTTTTTTTTAGTTTATCTGGATTTTCTTAACTTTGGACCACAGTTACAGAGCTAGAAACAAATGCCTGACTAAAGCAGGCATTTGAATTTTGAATTCAGAGAAAAAAATTCATTTCATTTAGGTTTGTTTGCTTTTTTTTTCCTGGGGTGACTACTCCTGCAAATTCAATAATTGCCAAGGTCATGCTTTCTGATTTATGTATTGGAGTAGAGGACTTCAGTTCAGAGAGAGAAAAGAATGAGGCCAAGATTAAAATCAGAGTTCTGTAGGATAATCAATGGACTCAGAACCATAAGGTCAGAGGTATGAGCACACCAGCTGCTCTGTGGGAGAAAAGGGAAGCTTTCTGCTCCTGCAGAGTCGCAGCCTCAGAAACCCCACACACCGTCACTATGAGTTGGAATCGACTCAATGGCCACAGCACTTAACAACAATAAAAGTCCTAGTTATTGCAGCTTCCTTGCCCTCGTATCTTTTCTGCTCAAACTAGCTCAAGTTGGTTGCTACAGCTTGTCAGAAGTGGGGCTCAGTTGTTACAGGATGCTCAGGAAAAAGTCTGGGAATACAGTTTAGAATT